ATATATATATATGCGTGCGTGCGTGCGTGTGTGTATGCTGGTATTTATAAGAGCGGTTAACTCTTGACACCTTGTGACCGATCTCCATGAAAGTTTGCACATCGTCGTATTTTTGCACCCCGAAGATTTATGTGCCGTTAATTTTGTTGTACATCCACTAGATTGCGCTGTAGAACAAATCTAAATATTCATTTCAAATGCAACCTGCAACACTCGGCAGCATTTTTTAATTTTTATCGTTAAGTAACTTCTAAACAAAGCGCTCTAGGCCATTATAAACTAAAATGTAGCGGCCAAAGGCATCAAAGAATCGTTTCTCACATCGTGATCAACAGGATGAGATGTTGATCATTCTTTAAAATTTTTGCTGATCCGGCGCTTTTCCCGCCTGCTCAGAGACGTGCAGAATCTTCAACTAAATGTTAATTAGAGGGAGACAGTGGCAGAGTCAGGCAGACAGAGATTGTGAGAGACGAAAAGAGAGAGAGAGAGTAAGGAGAGGGAAGGAGAAAGAGAGAGATGAATGGCAGAACAATGTCTGCCGAGTTCCGCTAGTATTATGTAAACAACTAATTTCTGAGATAGTAGGACCTCTATACTCATTTTTACGTTGTGAAGGCACAATGGGCTCTTATGGACATTTTTTTCGTATGGAAGAATCTCATGCTCTGTTGCCCAGTCAATTGTTGCAAAAGTGAGTAGAAAAAATATAGTCCTGTTTAGAAAATGAACACGATGGTAATCATGAAAAATAGGTCATTGATTTATGCGGAACTGACTTTTTAAACATCTTTTTATTCAAATCGTTGAAACATCCAAAAATTGGTGGAATTATTTTGAAAAAAAATATACAATATTTCAGTTTAGCGGAGGGAAATTCATTTGATCAATATGTCAAAATGTGCCCCTTTAAAAAAATGAATTGCCAACGAAATTGTGTGAACTTTTAATTTGTGTAGTAGAATATATTCTCACTGGGATACTTTCGTCCTTGAAGTCCAATTAAAAACATCCAGCGACGAAGTTTTGGGTAAAATGATGAACTTCGCCGCAGGTCGATGGGTCGTTCGGCGCCGGACCTCTCCAACAACCGGGGGTAGATCACTGCCATCCCCCGCGATAAAATCATGCACTACATTTACAAAACTGATGTCCTTAGCAGTTGACGCTCTCTGAATCAATAATACATCAATCACATCCATCGTCAATCGACATGGGTGATATCGGTCCCTCGAATTCAGTAAATCCGAACTATATTAATTATTCCGTATGTGCACAGAAATAGCAAGACAATTGTGCAGTCTCCTATCAGGGAACAAGCGTACGTTGATTCGTTACTCAGCTACTCAGAAAAAATACAAAACCCATTAAACATATTTGATATTGACCGAAATAATTCTTTTTTTGTCTGTTCTGAAACTGTGCGTACCAACTGAAATATCTGCCGCTGCTGCTTGCGGCTTCATTGGGCGAGAGGTGAGCCTACTGGCCTCTGAACCACCAGAGCGCAGATTCTATGTCGGCTGAGGGCGTGGTTTTTCGAAGGGCGAAAATGTTGTTTGTGGCATGTCCCGTTTAGGTCTGTGTGTATTTTGTGATCATTTGATCGAGGGTAGTGAGAAAAGAATTCAAAGAAACGTGTCAATTTTATATTTTTGTGGATTGTAACATTGTTAAAAAATATGGGGGAAACGCAGTGAACATATGATAGCAATACTGGTGCACTATAATTTTATTTTGAAGTTCAGAAATAGTTCCATTTGCATATCTATTTCTGCCTTTATTTTTCGAAATATACTGTGGTCAAAAAATGATGAAAAAAGTCCGTTTACAGGAAATTTTATTTCACTGTTCTTCTCAAAATTGGTAATTCAAGTTATCAGTTTCACTGCACTTTAAATCAGTGGCAGCTGGTTTATTTATTTATTTGCGTCAGAAATAGATACAAACTGTGTGACGGGCTATGGGGAGAAGTTAATTTGAAGTTCCATTTATGTCCAGAAGCAAAGCAAGGGGCCATCTCAGCTCGAGCCATTTGCTCGAGGGGCCATTTGCTCAGGGGCCATTTGCTCGAGGGTCAGGGAAACTGGACGAAAACCTGATCGAGCTGGGGGTCATTGACCCAGAAGCTGAAGTACAATACTTCTTACAGGTTCTTTGGTATTATACGATCCAAATGGTATATAATACATTAAATATTGTTAAAATTAATATTACTTTTCTTTTGGATGCCCTGTATAGTCTCTAATTGTATAGAAACAGTTGTGTAGCAGAAATGATTGTACTTGGAACTTAAATTTTTGTATCGAGTTTAATTATTCAATGTCATCTGGCAAGGTGAGGTAAAATAATGTACATGTATTATATTGAATTTTTCGTAGTGAGCTGTTAGTGCAGTGTGAGAAATTGGCCTATAATTTTGAATTTCCTTTTTGTTGCCTTTTTTGAAAAGCCGCTTAATCTGAGCTGTTTTAAAAATATCTGAAAAAATTCCTGTGCATAAAAATACATTACATATGTGAGTTAACGGGTGTATAATGACGGTCGCGCAAACCTTTAACAAAGAATCCGGCAATTCATCTAACTCGCCTGAATATTTATTTTTTAGCCTACCGATTATTTTGAGAATTTCATGTGAAGTTTCGGGAACAGTAATCGTGCCTGAAATGTTTTGGGAAACTGCTGATGCTGACTTTGTGGTTGAAGACCCTTAGTGAGATCAACAGCAATTCTCGAAAAGTATTGGTTAGAGAGACTAGCCATCGTTGCCGGATCGTTCACATTTCTGTCGTTATCTTTTAAAACAACATTCTGTAGAAGGATTCTAGTTGATTTGGTCGAATTTTTTACTATATTCCACATTGCTTTTGTTTTATTATC